TTCATCCTCGCCCTGGGCCTTGCCGTTTTTAAGGTGCTGGAGGACGATTCTTATATCGCTCAGACTGACGTCCGGGATATCATCGGAATAGTTTCGGGTAAGACTTGCTCTTGGATCGTTACTCACACTTGCGTGTGGCTCCAACGATGATGTGTACAGCTGCCCATAGAACCTCTCAATCTCACACAAAAATCTCAGGTGTCCCGGAAACGATGCTATCACATTCAGTCTTCAGCTTTGAAAGTTGGCTCTTTCTGGCAGACAGATCTCTGGCAAAGACTTTGGAGCCCTGGTTCTGCTCGATCGCTTTTTTAATACGAGCAGTATTAAAGTTGCGTAAGTCTCGCCGCATGCATTTGGAGATCTGTCTGTTCAGTTGCCTACATGCTGTCAAACTGTTGACGATTGCAGCCTCATCTCCCGTCTAATAGCCATGAGATTAAGAGTGTGATCGGAGAGTTTTTGTGTTCTTCTGCGGCGGTTCTTGCAGAACTTAGCTCCAACCGCATGGACAGTTTCCACGAGCTTGTCATTCATATCGTCCACTGCATTGCAATCCTCTAGGCACTGAAAGCAGTTTTGTAACTCGAGCTGACAGGTTTCGGGATTCTGGATTAGAGCACGAGGGGGACGGAGCGTTGACTTCATTAGACGAGACCTCTCCAACTTAACGTTTAGGTTCAATGTGCCTCTAACCATTCGGTGATCGCTGCCAGTTTTCACCCTTGCGATCACTGAGACATCACTGAACAGTTGGCGTCTGGTCGTCATAATGAAGTCGATCTCATTTTTTGTCGAACCGTCGGGGCTCGACCAGGTCCACTTCCTATAGGGCCGCTTCTGGAAGAAAGAGTTCATCATAAAGAGTCCCTCTTTCTCCATAAAGTCGGCCAGCTGCTGGCCCCTTCGGTTCCGTTGCCCTACTCCAAATTTCCCTAACTTCAGCTCACCGTTTTCTCTTGTGCCTAGTTTTGCGTTGAAGTCTCCCATCAACACCGTGTAGTGGGTTTTGGAGGAATGCATGGCTCTGAACATATCCTCATACATTTCCTCCACCTCCTCATCGGGATGTGCCGAGTTTGGTGTGTAAACCTGTATGACCTTCAGCGAATACCGTTTGGTGGTTCTGAGTATCAGGTACGTGACACTCGTAGACACACTCCCAATCTTTACAACGTTGTTGACGATGAGACTTGTGGACGATAAATCAGACACCTCCTTGGGACAGATGGTCGCCCTTCCGGTGATAGAACAAGTTGCCGGACTCTAGGATTACCGTGTCCTCCCACTCTCTTCGGACCTCGGATAATCCAATAATATGCCAGTGCAACTTGTCTACATCTTCTTCCAGCTCCAGTATCTTCTCGTCAGTCCTCAGGGTGCGTGCTTTATATGTTGCCAGGTCGAGTCGTGGTAGGTGGCAACCGAACCTCCACCGGAGATTCTTAGCACCCCTGCCCCGCCGTTACCATGGTTGCCACCGTAACCAGGAATAGCAGTGTGGCCGCTGGGGACTAGAGCCTTTTGTTGGCGTCGTTATTCATGGGGGGATATTTGCCATAGTTGCCACGCTTGTCGAGCGGGTTGAAAACAGGAAGATGCTGCTGCCCATCTCCTGCCTGTCTCCCTCTGTTGCCTCTTACGACACCCACGGGATGATATGGGGTAGTGGATATTCTCAACCACCACTACACGGCATATCGATACACGGTAAATCGATATAATTATCGATAAAACATATCGACATAGTCCTCACCTCACGTTGTTTACGCATGTAGACAGTGGCAACGATACGTGTTCAATTTGATGGTTTGCGTAAATGCAATGAACACAAACACAAATGCTGTAGTGTGCTTGTATATTGACGCGATTCAATTTTGCATTTGTAGTGAAGTATACAGTAGTGTTTTTCCTGCACCCCCTGACATTGACAGACTTTTTGTTTACGTGTTAACGCGCATGGTCTCTCCAGTTGGCTTAATACTCAAAGACAAGAGGATAATCTGTCATTTCCTTCATGTTTTGAAGAAAAGTGTTGTATAAATGCTGCAATAGTCAATCATATTATACGGATGCGGGATATCCTTTTTCAATAGGATTTTCATCGAATCCTTTTCTTTTTGTGTAGGGTGAATTTAATAAAGAATAACAATAACATATACAGGCACATTTCTATTTTAGATATGTTTATGCTGTTATCCTATGCAGCTCTTATCTTATTTTGACTCAGGGCTCTATTTAAGGCTAATCAGAGGTACATAGCACCAATCGTAGGCGTACATTACTCGCTCATGCAGGCGTCAATCAATTTGATTGATAATAAACGGATGGTGACTGATAGGCGTACATTACGCGCTCCGTCAGGAGTCATTCACATTGCATTGCACGGTAGGTTATTAGTCAATCACAACCGTTATTGTTGTAAAACTGACAGCCTGCATGAGCGTGTAATGTACGCCTACCAGTGACCATCAGTTTTATTATCAGTCATAATTGATGGAACTGATTGAGGCCTGCATGAGCTTGTAATGTACGCCTAAGGAACTAACATATCTTTAGGTAGGGTACACATCTTAATAAAATGAAATAAATTGGATGTCATAGTCAAAAGGTATTCTGTTGTAAATGTGAAAACAAAAATGCACACGTTTTGCTAAAATTGCTGTTCATTTTTAGAGATATATAAATAAGACTTATATCTACTTAAATGGAAAGAAATATAATTAAACAATAAAAACGTATTAAGACAATGTAACTTTACGGTTGCAATGATTCATATCACGGCATAACTTTATACAAATATTCATATGTAGGAAGGTAGTTAAATAGAATTAATTTACAATCACAAAATACACGAATCACAGGTAATCAACTATAAATTGTACTGAGACTAATTTAATAGCTGATAATAATAGTTAATTCGTTTCCATGAATTAATTATCCGAATAGTCTAGGATTAGCTAGTAGTGGGATACAACAAGTGAACCATGCCACGCCAAAGCCATGAGCGCTTTAGGGGCGCCCGCTCCGTCCGTTTTATACAATCGAGACAAGTAGCTACACGAGCGCCACTGCAGGTGCAATGTGCAGGTGTGCCGTGCACGTGTTGTTTACAATAATACACAGAGGCGTCTGCTATTTCCTCTAGATCCATATTCGACTTTAATTAGACGTGGGTAATCGGGCAAGGAGAATTAAACGACGTAATTCACACTAAATATAATTAGGGTATTATAACAAAAGTTATTAGAAAACACTTCATTACACACTCCACCAAGAACGTAATGCTTATTTGCGATGTGATCCGATTGCCGTCTCGAAGCGAACTGCCGCGTCGTCGCTGCTTCTACTTACACTAGCCCTTGGTGTTGCGTCAGAGTGAACGACAACCGATTTTTTTTTTTTTTTTTTTTTTTTTTTTTTTTTTTATAGAATAGGGTGACAAACGAGCACACAGTCCACCTGATGGTAAGTGGTTGCTGCGGCCCATAGACATCTACATCTATCCTCCATTAAAAATCAAAATGCAGATGCGTTGTCACCCGTGAGGACTGAGATGGAATGCCTCGTTTCCAGTAAAAAGGGTCTCCGGTTCTCTACACTCACCATACGAAATACAGCAGCATTAAGCTACTATTTCACGCTGGTATTCTGTGAGAGCGTGGTCCTTCCCCGGTCGAGCCGACCCATTCGTGCTACAACTATACTACTAATATAACTGCAGCATGGCTCTACCACGTAAAAAATTTACGATTTCACGATTACTTCTACAGATAGCGTTTTGTATATCCGGTTGATTGATCTATTTTATATACTCAAAGCGTAGACATAGAAACCAATAGACGAATGATCGGCGTGGCCTCGAGTGAGAAAGGACGATAACGAATTTTTAGGTTATACAATAATCTTTATGACTTTTAAACACATTTAGATAAAATTTTTAATTGTTCTAAGAACTGAACTGAACAAGATTCACCAATCTTAAGCTCACAAAACACTTTTTTTCTCACTTAAACCAACTTGTAAACTCCTTAAATTGCTACGTTGTCAAAGTTGTTTAGCAAACTGTAGAGTTTGCTAAACAAAAAAACCGGCACGGAGAAAGGGACAAACAATCACACCGCTCTATCTCATTTCTATGCAAGACGTATGCATAAATCTATCTTTTTCGTGTGCGAATGCGAAAGAAGGCGTCAATTTGTCTATAGGTTTCTCTGTCTACGTCAATTTGTCTATAGGTTTCTCTGTCTACGACTCAAAGAGATTGATGGCTACCACTAGAGTTTCGGCGGAAACCATAGAGAAATAAATATGTAGCAAGCTAGCGGAAACTTGGGCGACGACGGACTGTCGTTCCTGTTTTGTCACTTGAATAATGGTTTGAAATGTATTTTAATTCGTAAAAGTGATGTGATTTTATGAATTAAGTGTCTGCGCGTGTGAACTATTAGAGAAAACGACAAAACAAGTGCTTTGATGTTGATATAAACCTCAAGTTAATTTGATCGCTTGGACGCCTTGAACTTGAGTGGCTGTCTTCATCAACAATCCGCTGGGTTGAGTTGTCATCAAAATCTCCAAAAAACTTCGTAATGTGACGCATCAACATATTGCGAAGAAAAAATATACACGTACATGTATAAAATGAAGATTCTAAATGAAATGATAGGCTCAGAAGGGCTAGTACCCAGAGCCGTAAAGCCAGTTAAATAAAAAAAATGTCTACCACTAGCCACGTCAATTTTGACATTTGACATTTCATAAACTTACACGCGACGAGAAATCTGAAATCCCATCACCAGATGTGATAATCAATAAATCTTTATTTCCTAACATAATAAATGATAAACATTGTAACCTTAGTTCATAAGTGTAGTGTATTTAGTAAACTTCTGTGTTTGCCAGCTGTACACACTCAGTTGAAACTTGCGTATAGTAAGTGGGGAAGTAACAAACCTCACCGTAAAATAAGAATAGCAAATCCACTACGAGAAATAATTATGGCTGATCCAAAAATTGAAGAAATACTGGCTCCTTTACGGGCTAGTGTTAAAAGTCAAGGTGATTTAGTTAGAAAATTAAAGGAAGAGAAAGCTCCAGAAATGGACATTAAAAAAGCTGTAGCTGAATTAAAGGCAAGAAAAAAAATCTTAGAGGAAAAAGAGTTAAGCCTTGCGCCTACTGAAGAATTATTTGACCGGGCCAAAATGGAAGATCTTATTAAAAGGAGGTTCTTTTATGATCAATCTTTTGCTATTTATGGTGGCATAACTGGTCAGTTTGATTTTGGTCCAATGGGATGTGCACTTAAAAGTAACATGATTCAACTATGGAGAAAATATTTCATCCTTCAGGAACAAATGCTAGAGGTCGATTGTTCTATTCTCACTCCTGAGCCTGTATTGAAGGCATCTGGACATGTAGAAAGGTTTGCTGACCTCATGACAAAGGATGTCAAATCTGGAGAATGTTTCCGATTAGATCATTTAATAAAAGCTCATCTTGAAAAAATAAAGAGTGAAAAAAATACAAAGGCAGAACTTAAATTTGAAATTGAGGATATCTTAGTCAAGTTGGATGGTATGAATGCAGAGGAGATGTCAGCTCTTATGAAAAGATTTGATATGAAGTCACCTATTAGTGGAAATGAGCTTACTCCACCTATAGAGTTTAATCTCATGTTCAACACACAAATTGGCCCTTCTGGTTTGGTAAAAGGGTTTTTGAGACCAGAAACAGCACAAGGCATATTTGTCAATTTCAAACGCCTATTAGAATTCAATCAAGGTCGCTTACCATTTGCTGCTGCCCAGATCGGTAATTCATTTAGAAATGAGATCTCACCTCGCTCTGGTCTTCTAAGAGTAAGAGAGTTTACAATGTGTGAGATTGAACACTTCTGTGATTCTAAGGACCATCCTAAATTTGAAACAGTAAAAGACACTAAAATGTTATTTTATTCTGCTGATAGTCAGGAACAAGGGAAAGCTGCAGAGATAATGACAATAGGAGAAGCTGTGGCTAAAAAAATTGTCAACAATGAGACTTTAGGCTATTTTATGGCAAGAATCCATTTGTATATGCTAGCAGTAGGAATTGATCCTAAAAAGTTGAGGTTCAGGCAACACATGGGCAATGAGATGGCTCATTATGCATGTGATTGTTGGGATGCTGAGTGCCTTACCAGTTATGGATGGGTGGAATGTGTAGGCTGTGCTGATAGATCTGCGTATGACCTTACGCAACATACTGGAGCTACTGGTATAAGACTGGCGGCTGAGAAAAAACTGCCAGCTCCTAAACAGATTGAGATTGTGGAAGCTGTGCCAAACAAAGCAGCAATTGGCAAAGAATTTAAAAAGGATGCTAAAGTTATCAATGATTCATTGGCAGCGTTAGAACCCTCAGCTTTGGAAGAATTACAAAATAAACTTGAAAGTGATGGAGAGTATAATCTTATTACTCCAAATGGTAACTTTATACTTACTTCTAATCTTGTAAGTGTCAAGAAGAGCCAAAAAACTATTCACGTAGAAGAAATAATACCAAGTGTTATTGAACCCTCATTCGGTATTGGCAGGATTCTATATACCATCTTGGAACATAGCTTTAGGATGAGGGAAGGTGATGAACAAAGAACCTACTTCTCCTTGCCCCCAGCAGTAGCACCAATGAAGTGTGCTGTTTTACCACTAAGTGGCAATTCAGAATTTCAGCCATTTGTAAGAGAATTGTCGAAGGAATTAACATCTGTTGATGTATCACATAAAGTTGATGATTCTTCAGGATCTATAGGACGTCGATATGCTAGGACAGATGAGTTAGGAGTTCCATATGCTATTACTGTGGACTTTGATACAATGAAAGAGCCACATACAGTCACATTGAGAGAAAGAGATAGTATGGGACAAGTACGACTCCCTCTTACTGATGTACCATTAGTTGTAAGAGATCTTGCAAATGCTAAAATATCATGGGCTGATGTGGAAGGAAAATATCCCAAGTTTGAACAGCAGGAGAATGTTAAAGGTGCAGCGGCATGAAAAATAACATTGTTTAATCGGCTGCTTTATTGATCTTGAATTATTTATTGTATTAATTGTTAGCTTCAAGCTTCAATACACATTAGATCGAAATAAAATTCTTGTGCAACTTTTATTTTCACATCTCTTGCAAAATTTGTTTCGAAATATTGCCACAATCTCTTTAGTTTTTTAATACAGTTTTTGTTATATGAAATAATGTAATAAATAATTATAATATTATGTAACTATCACTGTGAAGTAAAACTCCATTATCATCATGATAACATTTTCACTGTCCGATTTTCAGACACACTAGTATGAGCATATGTAGTACACCAGGCAGCGAATGGGTTAAAAATAGTAATTAAATCTGTGTAAGCTAATGAGCCTACCAACCGTGGTACGCAAATATCCTACATATAACGTTATATATGGAGGGAGACCATTGTTCAGCACTGGAGTTTAATAGGCTGCAACGATGAAAGTTAACTAAATATAATATAACAATAAGTATATACATTTTTATCATAGAGTTGACTGCCTCATTTTTCTAGTGGTCGTAAAGGCAGATTACAGTGGCACCGGTTACATAGTAACTATTAGTCTGTAGTATCTGGTCATACCAAAATGAGTTATTGGCTTTGCTGTAAAGAAATTCTCAGCCAAAAATCAGGAAGTTGGCGGTGTTGCCTCGGAAAGCACGTAAAGCAGTTGGTCTTGCCCTTGATATCTCTCTGGTTGTGTTGGATAACCGCACTGTGCGCGATGGGTCGGTTATTCGCATTATGAGAGTGAGGGAACAGAGATTGCACCTGTCACCTGTGTTAGCGCATATATTAGGGCAATCCAATCCTATCCTGTGCAGATGGCTGGTCCGTTACGACCAGGACCGAAATTCTATCTGAAGGGCAATATCATTAAATAATCATATACTGCGTAAGATCTTATATTGCTTAAATTAATAATAATAATAGTCTTCCAGACAGAATTTCGCTCACAGTGGCCTGCCTCAACGGAGGCTAGCCATCGGCGCAGGACGGGATTATAGTGCCCAAGTGTATGCGCAAGCACAGGTGCACTCTCTATTCCCTCACTCTCATAATTCGATAGACCAACGGTTTTACGTGCTTTCCGAGGCACGGGGGTGAGACACCGCCAACTTCCTGACTCCGGGCAACTACTGAGAATTTAGCTGATGTGAAGCATCAACGTTCCGGGAAGTCTGCAGTTTGTGATCATATCCTAGACGGCCCCAACCATTACATCAGATTTGATAGACCACAAATCCTCGCGAAAGAACACCGATTCCTACCAAGGATGATACGTGAGGCTATTGAAATTAAAAAACATCCTAATTTCAATAGAGAAGGAGGCTGGGTACTACCACCTGCTTGGGATCCTATAATCAATAAAATTAAAACTAAACCCAAGCATACCACTGCAAGACCTCAGGACATAGTCAGTTCATTTTGCATAGATCGGACCATAAACAATAATTAAAAAAGCTGAAGGTACTCCGGGTTTAACAATGACATCGGGATGTCAGTCATCTCAGTCCCCCGTGACCATGGGTGCTGGAAAGCGCCCGAAACGTCGGGAATTAAAAATAAAAATAAAAAGTAAGAAAAAATAAACGCGATAAAATCCGTAAAAGTAGTTTTAATCATGTACTGAGAATTTCTTAACAGCCAGCTCATGCGGTACTTTGAGGATCAGCAGCTGATTAGTGATCGACAGTACGGTTTCCGTCGCGGTCGCTCGTCTGGTGATCTAGGTTACCTAACTCATAAATGGGCGAAGGCCGTAGAGTCCAAGGGCTGTACAAGGGGGGAGGCGTTGGCTGTTAGTTTGGCTATAGCGAAGGCCTTCGATCGGGTTTGGCACGAAGCTTCCTTCCTACTCTCACCTCTTTCAAAATCCTTCTATCACCAACCTGTTTCTTCTGCATTACCTTCTCATGCATACAACACTGCTGATGCTTTATACACCGGCCGTGCTAATATTTCTCGGGAAAATATCGCCGAGTACCGGGACAAACTTGTGTCTGAAGTCGAGACTTTGTTGAACAAAATCTCGGACTGGGGGCATCTAAATCTAGTCCAGTTTAATCCCCAGAAAACAAAATTTGCGCGTTTACCGCTAAAAAGAACCCCTTCGTCGTATCTCCTCAGTTTCTAGGTACTCCCCTTGTTGCCTCAGCCAGTATCGGAATCCTCGGCGTCAACATATCGAGTGACGTGCAGTTTCGTGGTCATTCGGAAGAGAAGGCCAAATTGGCCTCTAAAAAGCTTGGCGTGCTCGGCTCGGCTCGGCTAGGGCTCGCCTCGGTCTTGTTTCTCAGTTTCCCCGGAGCAGTGAAAATATGAAAGCTTCAAAATAATTTGCATACAGGTACAGTTTATTTATTCATAAGTTCGACTAAATTAATTTCAAAGAATAAATACGTTTATGAGGCAGTTTTTCCGTAAAAACACTTGAGCCTTAGGACTGTTTACACAAAAACATTCTAGCACGTGCGCACTAAGCTTCACTGTGTCTGTTCCTTTCTTACATGATGTTAAGTGAAACCTTTGATACACAAATAGTGAAACAACCCACGCCCACCGACTAGTTCGAGCCTAAACGGAATAATTCTTCGTTCACGTCGTCGACTAGGGCGTGTTTTTTCCTTTTGCCGTGCAGCAGCCTTAAATTTTGGTTTAGTGTATAAAGTATGTCAAAATCAAATTATCTTCCCAAAAAAATTAAGTTATTTGATACTTTAATGAAATAAATGTCTGATGTTACATTTTAGACTTACATAAAGGATATAACAGAGTAGGTTCAGTCTGAATTTTGCTGCTTTTTCGACTCCCTCCCATTTCCTTAGGATTTGTGGTTGGGGCACAGAAATCCGTACATAATTTTTTCTCCAAATGACTAACAGAATTCTGGCCACTAACTGGTGCATTTTTAAATAGACCGTGGACAAATATTGTCGTGTGGCGGCTTTATTTACCCAGCAGATTTTTTTTATTCCTTTTAGATTTACAAGTAATCTTATTAAGTATTTTTTTTACTTTTACCATTGTTTCGAAAAAACCTATGTACTGGGAAGAACCAACAACAAACCCAGCAGGACATTTTTAAAGAAAAATCATAAAGAGAGCTTGGAAGTGATTTCAGTCCATTTCAACATGCCTCTTCACTATCACCTCACATTTCATCAAGTCAAGGTTAAAATAAAGGTAGTCCAAATATTATTACTAAATGTATTAATCAATTACAAACTGTAAAACAATTTTAAAGAAGTTATAAGGTAACGTGGCATTATCTGTAGCGGCGGTCTCTGGATCGTGACCGTTGGTGGTGGCGGTCTCGAGAGCGATCACGGTATCGATCGCGCCGGTCTCGGTCTCGGTCGCGGTCTCTGTCTCTTTCCCTTCTGTCCTTTTCACGCTCTCGGTCCCTGTCTCTATCTCGATCGCGCTCTCTGTCTCTGTCATCACGCTTTGCTGGTCTGTCTTTTGAGTATCTGAAAAAAAAACATTTTTATCATAGAATTTAAAATATTTAACAAAATTTCTACTGAGTCAAGTTAAATTTAAGCGTAGATGAAAAATGTTATAATGCAAATCCCATTTAAAATACTGGCCTCTTTTTATGAATTTAGAACTGTTTTAAACAATTTTTCCATATATCTCTCAAGACTATTTTTTGTTTTTTACTCTTTGGGAAGGCCTATGTCCAAAAGCAGAAGAATAAATATTATAATACCAGCCTTCCCTTTATTTCAAAAAAATAAAATCTTACCTATCCATATCGCCATAGTCGCGTCGATCTCTGTCGTCGTGCTCGCGACGATCAGACTCCATCCGACCCGAGCTGTAGCCCGTGCTGCTCCCACCTCTGTAGTTAGCCGCAGGCTTTGTAGCTTGCACTTGTCTGTTGTGTTCTGCCAACCTAGGTCACATCACATATTCTTAGCACTACCTATCACATACTCTTTGCACTGCTCTACATGAACTCACCCGTAACTTTAAATATAATTAGAGCCTGTATCATGAAATAAGTTTAATATGATATAATAATAAAAACAAAAAAAACAACAAAAAGACAAAGATTTATTACAGTAAACAAAAAACACAAATTAGGGGACATCACTTCAAATTAACTGAAGCCGTCACATAATAACCCACACAAGCACTTTTTTAGGCAAAGAGTGGTTGAAGCATGGGACAAGCTGCCATCAGAATTGATATCTGCACAAACTATTAACCAATTCAAGAACAAATTAGATAAACAACTAAAATAGAATAATTATACTTTTGTAATAGGATACGATTTCAAAAGTGGTAGAGCCACGCGGCAGCTTTGCCGTTGCACGTATGGACCGGCTCAAACCGGGGTGGTACCACGACCTCACAGAATACCGGCGTGCAGTGGAAGCTCAGCTTCCGCGTTTCGTCTCGCGAGTGCAGGTGGCCGGAGGCCCAATTCCCCCACCCCCTAACATGGTAGCGGAATTAAGTAAAGATCTACCCCAGAAGTGCACCAGCACCCCTGGAGAATTCTTAGCCGAGTATCCACGACCAAGTTACTCCACACCTGAGCGTGGGTGCTCAGACTGCCCCGCGTATTATGGGGGGGGAGGGATACATCTCAAGACAACTACTGCTTGGGGCAAACTGACCAAGAAGACCAAGGCGACCCCTGCCCACGCTATCCGTGAATTTTTGCACTATCAGGGGACTTCATTCTAACCTAAACGCCGTCCACTACCATCTCGAGACGGCGAGGCCAGCTCTGCTCTTTCTGACCGAGGTGTCCTCTCCAGTTAATGCTTCGTATCTCTCCTACCCAGGGTACAAATTGGAACACTCCTTTGGCTTTTGGCTGGAGTTTGCGTATACGTCAGAGAGGACATCTGTTCTCGACGCCTCGATAGTCTTGAAGGTTCGGGCCTGTCTATCCTTTGGCTACGCGTAGACAGCGACGACCATCCGCGCGGCTACGGGCGCCTCTATAGGTCCCATAGCGGTAATGCCGAAACAGTCCGACTCTTCGACCACGTCCAAATGGCTACAGATTCGTTGCTACATCAGATCCCCTTCGCAGAGATCGTGATCCTCGGCGATTTTAACGCCCACCACGCCGAATGGCTTGGTTCACGTTCAACCGATCATGCAGGGAGATCTGTTCATGATTTTGCCTTGGTATATGGTCTGACACCCGATCTGACCCGAAAGGACGGGGGGAGTACGCCGCCGACCATCCCGCGGTGTGAGTGCTCCATGCCGGAGGTGCGATTCACAAAACGCTCGGTTCGAAAAGCACTCCTCTCCTTGGACATCCACAAGTCAAGTGGCCCTGACGGTATCCCCCCCAATTGTGCTGAGGACGCGTGCTCCAGAGTTGGCACCGGTCTTAACGCGTCTTTTCTGGTACTCCTACTCTCTAGGCGTAGTCCCAAAATCATAGAATACGGCTTTCGTCCAACCGATCCCTAAAAAAGGCGATCGCTCAGACCCCTCCAACTACAGGCCCATCGCCATCACCTCCTTGTTCTCCAAAACAATGGAATCCATTGTAAACTGCCAGCTCATGAGGTACCTTGAGAATTAACAGCTGATTAATGATCGCCAATACGGTTCTCGTCGTGGTCAATCAGCAGGTGATCTTCTTGTCCACCTGACTCATAGATGGGCGGCGGCAGTAGAGTCCAAGGTGGAGGCATTGGCCTGGTTAGTTTGGACACTGTGAAGGCCTTCGATCGGGTTTGGCACAAAGCGCTTCTTTCGAAGCTCCCTTCCTTATGGCTTTCCTATGGGCTTCCCGAGAAATTGTGCAATTTGATCACCAGCTTTCTTGCAGATCGGAGCATCAAGGTCGTTATAGACGATGCAAGCTCCGATTACAAGCCTATTAATGCAGGTGTTCGCTGACTGCGTGCTATCACCAACGCTGTTTTTTCTGCATATCAATGACATGTTGCAAATCGGTAGCATCCAATGCTATGCAGACGACAGCACTGGTGATGCTTTATACACCGACGGTGCCAATATTTCTCGGGAAAACGTCGCCGAGTACCGGGACAAACTTGTGTCTGACGGCGAGACTTAGCTGAACAAAATCTCGGACTGGGGGCGACAAAATCTAGCCCAGTTGAATCCTCAGAAGACACAAGTTTGCGCGTTTACCGCTAAAACGAACCCCTTCGTCGTATCTCCTCAGTTTCAAGGCACTCCCCTTGTTGCCTCAGCCAGTATCGGAATCCTCGGCGTCGACATATCGAGTGAGGTGCAGTTTCGTGGTCACGTGGTCACTTGGAAGAGAAGGCCAAATTGGCCTCTAAAAAGCTTGGCGTGCTCAGCAGAGCGGTACAGTATTTCATGCCGGCACACCGCCTGCAACTTTACAAGGCGCTGATTTGGCAGCACATGGAATCCAGCCCAGCCCATCTCTGGGCTGGGGCTCCCCAGTACCAGTTTCTTCCACTTAACCGCATCCAGCGCAGAGCAGCTCGAATTGTTGACGACCGAGTGCTTTCCGATCGGCTCGATTCACTGGCGCTGCAAAGAGATCCTGCATATCTTTGCGTATTTTATCGTATCTATCACGGGGAGTGCTGGAATTGTTCGGATTAATCCCAGTCGCTAAATTTCATGAACACGCTACGCGGCAAACCTCCCGATACCATTCACACCATCTGGATGCTTGGCGGTCCACCACTGTACGTTTCACTAGTTTTCTTCCGCGTACGACCTCTTTGTGGAATAATTTACCACCGGAGATTTTTCCGGACCGATACGACCTGGGGACCTTCAAGAAAAGAGCTTACTCCTTTCTAAAGGGCAGGCAACGCACCTGCCATTCCCCTGGTGTTGCGGTTGTTCATGGACTGTGGTAGTCACTTAACATCAGATGAACCGTATGCTCGTTTGCCCCCTCTTCTATAAAAAAAATACGGGCTTATATCAGTTGTTTCAGCTGCTGGCTTTTAAAGAATAATAATAATAATATATGTGAATTGGGTAGTTGTGACTATAAATAACATATAAATATAATTTTTAACAATTTCTACAAAAAAAGATACTAACTACTACTACAGTATAAAATTACAAAGTAGGTTAGGCAGGTGTTGTATTTTACTAACACTGTAAGCTATTGTAGCACTGTTGCTAAAAATTATTTCTCATACTATAGTAACAATGACATTGTTTATTTTTCAAAGTGATGAAGAGGAAAAAGTAAAACTATACCTACTTCTGCTCAATTTGTTTCTGTATTGGTACGGGAATTCGCGGAAAGAGTGTGCTGAACCAATCCAATTTTATCAGCATCTGCCGCACCAGCGCCCCGATGGTGGTGGAGCCTCCGCCGCCCGCGCGTGGGTCTATTTCCTCCTCATCGTCCAAATAATCCACATACCAGTCAAACAGGTCTGCTGGAGGCTGAGTGTAACGGATGTACATAAAACCTGTGTTAAATCATAAAGCAGTAATTAATTTTGTTTATATACACAGAAATATAATTAGGTCTGTAATATTGAAATTCGCTTCTATTAAGCTCGGGAGGTTATTTCCATGCTATTATGACGACACATCGAAAATGTGGCTCAAGGCTATCACCGTACTGATCCGAGTGAATACATAATTTCTATAAAAACTTGAAAAAACGCCGTCATAAGGTCTAAAATTGCGTAGCGCCCGCGACGAATAAAACCGCTTAGAAATTGCCAGAATCTTAAAATATTTTTTAAATATTATTGATTTAAGTAATCAAAATAATGAACAAGTAAATTATTAATTGATGTTATATTTATTATTTGAGTGATTCCCAAATATAGATTAAGTAATATCGTTGTAATTTCAACTATAGGGATTTTTTAGAGGTGTTTTCGTAAATAATTATGATCGAGTCAAAATTATACAATCGTGTTTTTAAACAATCAAATTCAAGATAAAGTCATGAATTTACCTACCTATATCAAAATTCCACTTTTGTTAGTAGTGTCATAGTCCTATACTATTCGATGAAAGAAGGTGCATATTTTCGCGGTGTCGCCTTAAGACATAAATGACGACCTGCTAGGACATGCATTAAGTCAATGGATGCAGGTTGCTCAGGAATGTGCTTTGTGGCATTCCCGGGGGAGGCCTATGTTCGGCAGTGGACTTGTGAAGGGCTGTAACGATGATGATGAAGACATAAATAACTATTTTTTAAATTTTGTCTGGCTGTCAGGGCTAACGTTCAGAATGGCTGAACCAATTGCGATCTAATTTTACAAACTGATAGAGAGTAATACCTGGAGGGATCGAGGCTATATTTTATCTGAAAAACTCAAGACTTTTTTGGAGAAACTGAAACTAAAAATCAATGTTTGAATTTTATTATCTTTGATTATTCACCAGTTACACATACTAAACTACAGTACTAAACATGCTGCCTTTGCATCAACAATTCGAGCATTAACACTTATAGGGGACATACTCACTCAGCATGCTGAAATTGACATATTTGCAGAGAAGTCTGCTGACTCTTTTGTATAAAATTACTGGTAACATTCACAACACACATTGAAATAATACTAGTTTTTACGGAATTTATCGCGTATATTTTAACTTTTTAAATACCCGACGTTTCGAACGCTTTACAGCACTCATGGTCACGGGCAGGACTGAGATGTTCAACGTCCATATGTCATAGTTAACCGCGGTTACCATAGATTAAAATTTAACTTTTGTTCCGATCTATGCAGTATGAACTTATGGTATCTTGAAGTCTTGCAGTTGTATGCTTGGGTTGGGATTTAATTTTATTTATTATAGGATCCCAAGCAGATGGTAGCACCCAGCCATCTTCTCTATTGAAATTAGGATGTTTTTTGATTTCAATAGCCTCGCGAATCATCCTTGGAAGGAATCGGTGTTCTTTAGCGAGGATCTGCGGTCTATCAAATCTGATGTAGTGACGGGGGCGATCCTGTATGTGTTCACAGACTGCAGACTTCCCGGAGCGTCGATTCTTCACATCAGCTATATGTTCTTTAACGCGGGTTTTAATTGATCTTTTAGTTTGTCCTATGTAGGAGAGACCACATTCACAATCAAGCTTGTACACTCCTGCATCTTGCAGAGGGACATTACACTTGACCGATGGTAAAAACTGACCAATCTTCTTCAGCGGCTTGAAGTATGTTTTGATGGAAGCGCGCTTCAAGATGTAGCCAATCTTGTCAGTGACTCCTCTAACATATGGCAGTACAGCAGGTACACGCTCGACTGTGGCCGGCTTCACTCGTTCACTGTGACGTAGGCGCGGGACTCGAAGCTTGTTGTCATGCAAAACTTGCTTGACATGGTGGAGCTCTGCAGCCAGGTGTTTACTGTCACAGATCCCTCGTGCTCTCTGAAACAAAGATTTACCCACGGTAGCTAACTGTGAAGGATGGTGGTGAGAATCACCGTTTAAATATCTATCTGTATGGGTCTTTTTTCTATACACAGTATGGCTCAAGGTGTTATCAGGATTCCGAATTACTAACACATCTAGAAAAGCTAAGGAATTGTTTGCCTCTAACTCCATTGTGAACTGAATTTTAGAATTTATAGAGTTAAGATGGTCTAAAAATGCAGTTACTTTATCTAAAGGTAGAATTGTGAAAGTGTCGTCTACATACCGCTTGTAGAACCTTGGATTTATGGGAGAACTAAGCAGGGCTTTCTCCTCAAAGTCTTCCATGAACATGTCGGCGACAATGGGAGATACAAGTGAGCCCATCGCCACACCATCTACTTGCTTGTAGAACTCCTCCTTCCACAATAGGCCCTATAATAATCCAAAGGCCTCAACTTTGCAATTACACCCCGCAAATTACCGTACGAAGAAATTATCTGTATTGTCGAGAACTGTTTATTTAAAAACAATATGCGGAAAGAAGATTTGGAGGCGATACGTCAAGACATCTCGTCTATGTTACGTTGATATTCAGTGCCTAAACCGAATCTTCCCAAAGACGAATTTATAGCGTTAAAGAACCTACGCAATAAACACGAACTTACGATTCTCCGCGCAGATAAGGGAAACGCAACGGTAGTCATGGATACGTCAGATTATAATTCTAAAATACAAGAACTTTTGTCGGATGTAAGTATTTATAAAAAGGTTAAAAACGACCCAACAAATAGCACACTAAAAACAACTAGTGACCTCATAAAGAAACACTCCGAAAAATTAAATCTGGACGTAAAATGGATAATACCTACGTGCGCCAAATCACCAAAATTGTATGGGTTACCAAAAATACACAAGCCCAATGCTCCATTACGTCCCATAGTGAGCCAGATCGATTCACCAACTTACAGATTGGCTCAACACTTAGCGAAAATACTCTCACCACTCAGGGGACATACAAGAGCACACATAAAGGATTCCTACCATTCTGTCAGCGAGATTAAAGACCTACATCTGGCAGACAATGAAACTATGGTCAGTTTTGATGTGCAGTCATTGTTTACATGCTTTACCTGTTGAAGACTGCATCTCAATTGTAACTAGAAGGCTGGAAGAAAACAACATGCCCGTAGAATATGCAGTATTACTCAGACACTGCCTTACATCTGGCTACCTATTGTGGAAGGAGGAGTTCTACAAGCAAGTAGATGGTGTGGCGATGGGCTCACCTGTATCTCCCATTGTCGCCGACATGTTCATGGAAGACTTTGAGGAGAAAGCCCTGCTTAGTTCTCCCATAAATCCAAGGTTCTACAAGCGGTATGTAGACGACACTTTCACAATTCTACCTTTAGATAAAGTAACTGCATTTTTAGACCATCTTAACTCTATAATTGCATTCTAAAATTCAGTTCACAATGGAGTTAGAGGCAAACAATTCCTTAGCTTTTCTAGATGTGTTAGTAATTCGGAATCCTGATAACACCTTGAGCCATACTGTGTATAGAAAAAAGACCCATACAGATAGATATTTAAACGGTGATTCTCACCACCATCCTTCACAGTTAGCTACCGTGGGTAAATCTTTGTTTCAGAGAGCACGAGGGATCTGTGACAGTAAACACCTGGCTGCAGAGCTCCACCATGTCAAGCAAGTTTTGCATGACAACAAGCTTCGAGTCCCGCGCCTACGTCACAGTGAACGAGTGAAGCCGGCCACAGTCGAGCGTGTACCTGCTGTACTGCCATATGTTAGAGGAGTCACTGACAAGATTGGCTACATCCTGAAGCGCGCTTCCATCAAAACATACTTCAAGCCGCTGAAGAAGATTGGTCAGTTTTTACCATCGGTCAAGTGTAATGTCCCTCTGCAAGATGCAGGAGTGTACAAGCTTGATTGTGAATGTGGTCTCTCCTACATAGGACAAACTAAAAGATCAATTAAAACCCGCGTTAAAGAACATATAGCTGATGTAAAGAATCGACGCTCCGGGAAGTCTGCAGTCTGTGAACACATACAGGATCGCCCCCGTCACTACATCAGATTTGATAGACCGCAGATCCTCGCTAAAGAACACCGATTCCTTCCAAGGATGATTCGCGAGGCTATTGAAATCAAAAAACATCCTAATTTCAATAGAGAAGATGGCTGGGTGCTACCATCTGCTTGGGATCCTATAATAAATAAAATTAAATCCCAACCCAAGCATACAACTGCAAGACTTCAAGATACCATAAGTTCATACTGCATAGATCGGAACAAAAGTTAAATTTTAATCTATGGTAACCGCGGTTAACTATGACATATGGACGTTGAACATCTCAGTCCTGCCCGTGACCATGAGTGCTGTAAAGCGTTCGAAACGTCGGGTATTTAAAAAGTTAAAATATACGCGATAAATTCCGTAAAAACTAGTATTATTTCAATGTGTAGTGTTCGCGTAAATATAAGAAATCATTATTCACAACACACATTCGACAACTTAATTTCCTTGTACTATTTATTACTTCGTATTCAAGATGTAATTTTAATTATGGGTTCATTAGGATTGTAATTAGCTTTTATTGACATTGCATTATAAATTGACGTGACAAAATATTTCATAGCCTGACATTGCATGATTACGACCTTTCTCTTTTTTAAATATTTTACAATTAAGTATTAATATTTTGTTGTTTCAATAAAGCAATTATTATTGTTTTAATTTCTTGACACGGGTTGCTAAAAGCTTCAAGATTTTATATTAGTATTATTTTACAATTATTAAATTTATATTTTTAATTATTATTTTATAAATTATAACTATTAATTTTTGTCGATATAAATGGATGCAAACTTTGATTTTTTTTTGCATGTAAAATCTAACCTTGTGTGGGTATTGGATTCTCTGTAAGCTACAAGAGTTTTTAATTAAACAAATAAATTATATTAATCTAAACAACACCCCACATTAATACATCCCATCCAGGCGAAACCGGGTAGTATTATAAACGCAAAAATTCATCAACAGCTTAAAAAGA